CTCACCCATAAAGAACATTATGTTAAAAAAATAAAAACAAACAAGAAATCCCACAGACAAAACACATATGCCACCCTCAAAAGAAAAACCCCAACCTACTCTTCAGACATGAAGGTGAAGTTTTCCTTCAATTCTTTTATCATATGAACACTAACAGAACAACTTTTGTGATTTTTACCATTTGCTTAGACTGCTCTGTATTTTGAGTTTATGATTTGTAATTGACATTATTTAAGATTTTTTTAAAGAGATTGAGGCAAAGGGTTTGAAGCAAGCAATAGTGAGATCAGTGACAAAGTTTGATGCTTACACATGCTGAGTGAAACAGCAGTTAGTGCTTCAACAAAGTGACAAAAAGCCTTTTTTCAAGTACAGCAATATTGTATAAAACCACACATCAAGCTTCCATAGCTGTTACAGTACAGGGACGGCTTGAAGTAGATCCAGACTAAGTCAGATCTCAGGAATAGTTTAGATGAAGGTTTTTCTATATGGTTTTAAACATTATGAAGCCTGAGCATTTGAGAACAAGTTCCTTACCAACAAACTAGGTAATACCTACTTTTACAAAGGTCAAGAAACAGTTCCTCGATTCCTTTGTTCTGTTTAGCTGAAGTATGATAATGTTTTGCTCCAACGGATTCAGCATACCTGCAGGGATGCAGATACACCAGGAATGCAGATACACAACTTCATTGTACTGAAGGACTCAAGCTTTCTGAGGCACTTTACATGAAGCAAAAGGATGACAAGGGATTTTATCCCAAGTTCTGAGTTAATCTACACAGGCTGATTTAATGCAAAAAGGGAGTTATGTGGTTAAAGCTGCCATAATTCATGAAAAATGCTAGATGCAATTTAAAAAAATTCAAGCTTAGAAATGCATTTAAACTGTAAAAGTTCACTTTAATCATGTACAATTCTCAAATTGCACTTTGGTCAGTAAGGTCATTCCAGGACTCAGATACTAATAGAACACTTAAGACAGTAACCAGCTAGGCACTGCTGGTTTATGCCTGCCAGTTGTTATCAGCATCACAAGACTATTACTCTAGCATAATTCTGCAATGACTGTTTCTATTAATAATTGGTGTTACTTACGTTTCTGCTTCTTGCATTGAAACATGTCTTTCTTTTTCCAAGTCTATTTTGTTACCTGTTGCAAACAAGTTAATATTTCAAATCTTTGTACTCCAAAATTACCCCCCAAAAAAGCAGTCATGTAAAGGTTGTACCCCATCATTTTCACAGAATCACAGAATTATTGAGGCTGAAAAAGACCTGAGATCATTAAGTCTAACCTATGAACTAACACCACCACATCAGCTAGACCAAGAGTCACATCCAGTCTTTCCTTAAACACCCCCAGGGATGGTGACTGCACCATTTCCCTGGGCAGTCCATTCCAATGTCTCATCATCATTCCTGTGAGGAAGTGCTTCCTAATATCCAACCAAAATCTCCCATGACACAGGTTCAGGCCATGCCCTCTTGTCCTGACTCTTACACAGGCCTCACTTTGGAGCACATCAGTACATTTTAGGAATCCCTTTTCAGTCAACTACTTACAGGCAATGAAGGTCAAGTTTTAATTCTGTAGAGTGATCAGAATAGCTAGATACCTTCATACAAGCCACAGATTCAGCCTTCTGCTTTTCTTTAATTTATTTGGCAGCTTATCTATGATGCAGAACTAGTTTCTGTAGAATATCCACACATCTGTCCTGCTCAAAGTGTTTTAATCACTAGATCTGATTTTAAGCCTAAAATCAGTATTTCTGTTGCATTGTTTGCATTGAAATATCCAAACTTTAAGACTCATTCCACCCATCAAGTACTTGATTATGAAAACAGACAAGAATCCAGTCTATACCACTGACAGTAAAAAATATGTTTGAATACTTGCAAGAAGTATAATACACATTTAATGGTTGTGTTTTTCTTTTTTTACTATGGTCTGCAGGTACTATCCAATTCTGACAAGATGTATCATTAAACAGCTTGTTTTTCCAAACTAACTCTCAACTTTCCGTGGTGTCATTTACTGAAACTAACTTCTAACTCCAACTGAATTTTAAATATCAAGTTAACAGAAACTTTACCCCTTCATATGCATAAGCAGTGTTTGGAAGATGTTATTGATTAAAATAAACATTACTGACTCAGGCATTAAAATAACATGTTAAAAAATGCTTACCTACTATACATAAACAGATTTCATTTCCCAACATTTTTCTTAATTCCTTAACCCAGTTTTTTACCTGCAAAAAGAACAGAAGTTTATTTTCACTATGTACTACTAGCTCCAGCACTGTGGAACTGACCCATTTCCTTCATTGTTTACTCTAAACTTGAAATAAACATGTTTAGAGCAACACGACAAAAATATTCTTCACATAGCTACCAATGCCTCTTGTTCAGCAGGTTTTAATTCGCCGTTGAAACTAACATCAAATGACTTAGATAAAATGGTTCAATTACTCAAGAAATAATTCACCACACTTTTGTTAGTCCCATTCCAAAGAACAAGTTCACTGCATTGGCCACTTTAGGTCAGGCATAAGACCTTTTATCAACAGGCACTTACTGACAGATCACAAACGGTAATTTTAAGGCAGAGGTACCTGAACTGAGTTGTTCAGGTTAGATTGTAACAGATGTTTGTTTCCTGAGAGAACAGATGGGACAAGAGTGTTGAGTCACCTGATGGTAAAGTATTTGTTATCAATTCTGTTGTCATCCTTTGAAGTTGCATGATCACTGCATTGACTTAAGGTCTGCTATTTTAAGGGAATTTAAGTTGTGAAGAGAAACAATCACTTCAAGAACCTAAAGATAATTAGGATACATGACACAGAGGTAGCTATGCAGTAACTGCTGCAAATTAATAATTCTTCCTTTTCTGAAAATGTAAATGTTTTGATATGACAGAACTTTATTAAGTAGGGGCCAGCATGAAAAGGCTCAAGTAGTACTCAGAAGCCATCACAATTCTGTAGATGAGGGGCAAGAGTTTAAATACTAGCTCAAGTGCTTTACTTGCCTTGCATCAGACTATTTCAGTTGCTTAAGCTGTTGTGGATTGATACCCTTATACAACTTCCATCACTGCTAACCCAATCCTTGCCCATCTAACCAGTTTCTTACTCTTCTACATAGAAGACCTACTGGTTTTGCCACAAGATAATCAGAGATAAATACACTTAGCAAAGAGTGTCATCAGTTTTCAGTTGGAACATCACCTGCTCAGACTGATCAACTAATACTGCTGTAAGATAATTAGCCAGTTAATTAGCCCAAATATCTATTGTAACAGAGAAAGTAATGTTTCCACTGTCATATATTGCAATTTCAGACTTCTCAGGTCTGTAAAAGGTCATGTCACTTATCTTTAAGTAATTTGGTTTATACAGTAGAGATCAGTATTGCAGACTATCACAAGACTACTGGGATATGTTTATAGCCTGTCACAGGTAACTCACACATCTAATTCTCTAATGTTCTTTGAATAACCCTGCCAGAGCTTTAGTAGACTGAAAACATCAGCCTTTAAAAGAATACTAAAAAGGTGTAAACTTCCATTATACAGTCTACATCTGCAGATGTAATATATTGCTGAAAATAGAAGATTCCCATTTACACGCTCATATCACAGACTCTTTCAATCTGAGTACATCTTGCACAGAGGTAAAAAAAAAAATCTGTCCAGTACCTTTTGAAAAGAGTCTTCATCTGTTATATCATATACTAGAATAGCGCCATTAGAATCCCTGTAGTATATCGGCCCCAATGCATGAAATCTTTCTTGACCAGCTGTATCCTGCATTTAAAACACACTTGTTAGCATTTAAAACAAAGCAATTAATACTTCAAGAAACTTCAAATATTTTGAAGTTTTACTTTATTAAGAAGTGCCTAACACATGAGTTCCAGTAAACCCAAGTCATTTTTCAGGAATATATTCTATTTAGCTAGGAGAGGGAAGATAGGAAAGTAAACATACCCATATTGCAAGGTTTACTCTTTTCCCACCAATATTTAGCTTCTTTGTAAGAAAAGATGCCTGGAAAGCAAAACAGATTATAGTGAGTTTTACACATCGATGTCTCATTTGACTTCAGATTAATTTACTAATAAAAACATCTGAATCAACAGAAGACTGCTTTTTGGATCAAAACACTCTTTAAGCCAGAAGGCTAATACTAAGCCAGTTAGTAATTTCACTATAGTTTGCCAGTTACTATTCTAAATAAATTTGCCTTAAGCCAATCATTTACTACATCTTTTCACTGCTGTTTTAAATTACTTGGGAAGGATCAGAGTTATGTGGAAAGAGTCTGAATTCACAACACTGATAAGTCTAAGTTGAGCTTGAAGCATTTCACAAGAGTACGTGAAAATGGGGTAGGAATCAACCTAACAGGATTTTTAATTTGTAGGAATAAGCAAAATTATTTTTTTCCACTATTAGTGAGCTACTAGAAAAAAAAATAGTCTGAGTTTATAACTAAAGGTCTCAGAACACTAGTATTCTGCAAGTTTCCTCTACTCCCTTTTTGCTGAAGTCAGCCCACAGCTCTCCCCATCTGTTTTGGGTTTTTTTCAGAGCATAGCATGGGTTGGGTTTGTTGTTGGCTCTGTTGATTTTTCCCCCCCACCATTCCTGAAAGCTCAGCGATCTGCTTCTCACAGCTAACACGCAAAAGGAAAGCAAGTGGCAGGAAAAGAAAAACCTCAGAGTAAGCATGCAAGCTGCTCTAAGAATTCTACTATGTTAACTTTTGAAAACATTTTACAGGACTAGAGCATTTCAAGATTAGCCTAATAATAGTCTCACAAGAGTACATCTGTTCTCCAAGTCCACATGATCCACATTTTCAAACATCACCTTTGTAACCAAGTGTATAATTCAGTGGCTAAGAAGGGATATAATAAAATGTTAACAGGTTTGAACAGGCTCTGAAGGAGTTGATAGGTCAGAAACCTGCTCCCCCTGTTCTGAAGACTAGCAGGAACAGGTTAACATCAGACAATTCTATTGCCAAGGCTTATCTTTTTCACTTTCAGCTTCACCTCAACTTGTGTTTGAATACCAACAAGTACTTGTATCTTATGATACATTCATTCCAGATTTTAGTCTGGACTGTAGCAGCTCAACATGAGCCCTGTATATGAGCACTGACCAGGCACTGAACTGACTAAAAGTCACGTGTATGCAGAGAGTGTCATGGGCCTGATCAGCTGCTTGAACCAGCTTGCTGCTTAACAACATAAGCAACCAATGTACACACAGAAGACCAGGGTTTTCAACTGACACCAGCCTAAGTTTCTCTGAAAGTGCCTCTCTGGAGTACTGCCTGTACTCCAGTTACAGTCACCCAACATTTGGCTGCTAGAGCAGCTCCTGCTATTCAGCTACTTCTCCAAAATCAACTCTGGCATCTGTATGGCCTAAGGTGAGAAGGTTCAAGAAGCTTATTTTTTGAAGTAAATTGTACTTTCCCCAAAAACTTTTCACAAAGTCTGATAAACAGAACATATAGAGAGAATACAAACCACAGGAAAGAAAAAAAAAAGTCAGTTTTGAAGAGCAGAAGGCAAAGAACTACTCATTATGACCATTGTACTCAACATAACTAAAGCATTAATGCTACCCCTCCAGTCTACAGTGAGGTGGCACAAGTCAAATTCAGAAAAAGTTTCAGAGAGCACATTAAAAGTATTTAACACTAAGAGCTTAACAGCAGACTAGCAAATCTTAGACATCAGGCAAACTAATTATTTAATAAAAATTCTGCAGAAAGTAGTTTATGGCTTTCAGATAGCTGTTCCTATGGATTATCTGATCAACACCTAATCTTCCTATCATAATTCATTCTACTCCACCAGGGTTTGAAAGTCAAAAGCTTAGAGATTATTTCACAAGTTTTAATTCACTAACATTTGGGCCATATTGAGAAGGTATAGTTAGGCACAACAAATCAAGCTTAACTGACAATATTTTATTAGTTTATTGTACTACAGCATTGTAAATTCCCAAGGGTCTTCTAAGCACTGTTTGCTTTGTCACAACACTGAAAATCAAATCTAATCAATTGATACAAATTTCACATTAAATGTTCAAGAATCATATTTCTGGAGCAAAAGGCAGAAAAATCCTTCACATAAACAGGATTTCTATTTTAAAAAAAAAAGAACTCAGTATCCATAAAGTTACATTATCATGGCTTTAGACACTGACTGAATTAATAGCACAGGTATCTTTACTATCTGACAGAGAAAATGTTAAACAAAACTTGTATATGGGGATAAGCCTACTTTAAGTATCACCAGTCCTTCAGGTCACCACAACTTTTCATAGCAATACTGTCTCTTCTAGGACTAAGAGTACTTACTTTCCTATAAACCCAAGAATTAGAATACACATACATTTAAGTAAGGCTTTATAAAGTATCTTCTGCTAAAGAAGTTTGTTTAAAAAGCTCACCAAATAACAAGATTGGAACCTGGTATTTGAAATAATGTTCAGAAGGCTGTGAAGATCTTGAAAAAAGCAGTCAACACTAAAATACAGATTAAACACTTAATTCTTCTTCATTGCATTCACATACTTGAAGAACACTGTTAGCAGGCTCCATTCTTGAATAAGTATGGTTGAGCATATTTACCATCAATAAACCGTATTTTACAGCCACACAGGCAAACATGCCAAAGATAAAACAATTGATAACTACCTTTTAACACCCCCCCATTCAAGTCCCCCTTGTCCCATGGAAAAGCAAGGTTACTAGACTCAGCATGAGGTTAGACAGAAAAAAAACAAAATCAGATGAACAGCAGGACTAAGCAATTTTTTGAAATTTGGGGGGAACTCCACATGGAAGGAAAAGCCTTACTGTTTTGAGATAGTTTACAAGTCTAGTTTAGGAAAACACTCAGCAGCCAAGGGTATCAAAGCCTTTGAAATCAGTAGTCTAGACAGTGTCAGGTTATTACACGTAGAAAAGCATTCAACATTTTTTCTAATATCGCAAGAATTTCCAAATTGAGTAATACAGATTTAAGTCTAAGTTGTGACTTGACTTAAAAAATCAGTAATTCCTTTCCATATTATTTTTATTACTGTGACAAGTAATTTTTGCTAGGACTTCCAAAACCCCCCTAATATCTAGTACCATAGTTAATTCAAAGGTAAGTAATCTCAAACAGATCTTTCAAGTAAGCTACTATGACTCTGTAGTGTCTTATGACTGGTCTGAAGAATACTTCCACACTTAGAAGAAATGGATAATGAGATTGTAAGAGAAAAAAATCCATTATTTTTATGTGCCTATAGAAAATATTTTTCCTTTAACTACTTCTTCTAAGAGATCAGTTTTGCATGTCCATCAGGCCTCTTTAGGAGCAGATAAAGGGGCCCGAGTAGAACACAGGGAAGACTCAGTTGGGAAAGATTCCCTTGAAAGCCACTGAATAAAAGCAGGTGTATGTCACCCACCCCTTGACTGCTTCATCTGCAACAGAGCCAAGCCAGGCATACAAACACTGCATAAAGCACTGAACCTCCTTGCATTTGTCTCCCCATCCCAGCTATCTTAGCCAAGACAGCTTTTCCAGGTTATGCAAGTCCAAAGAAATCAGGATCTGTATAGTATTATTAGCACCACATAAGAGGCTCTCTTGGGTTGGATATTTTGCCGTCTTCCACACACCTCAGATATTAGTGCACAAAAGTTGCATTTATCTTAATTAACTAACAGAAAGTGTCTAACTGAATTTTCTTTTAATTTGGTTGATAATAGGTTTATTACTGGAGTAATTCTAGCACAGTTCAGTTGGTATCAATGTATAGCTTAGAACTATTTTATCAAGATAGGAGCACTGACCTCAACATTTCAATCAATGCGGACTAAATCTAACTGACCCCACCAGATCTGACAGTGGGCCACAGACTGTAGCCATTGCTTGCAAAAACCCTAGCTTTTCTGCATCAGCTGTTCTACTTTTCTGTAGATAAATACTTTCTCACACAAGAATCAGTAGACACCTTATTTCCAAATTGCAGGTCTTCTGTACCTTAAGCTAAAATAACCACAGCAACACAACCCAAGAGACTCCTAACCTCAATGTAAGGAAGTTCCAGTTTACCATTTCCCTCTAGCTAGCATTGAGGGAAGGGGATGGAGGAAAAGGGAATGGAGAGGGCGAGGGGGGAGAGAAAAGAAACAGCTCCCTTTCACTATAAGCTTTGTTACCAGCACAAAATAAATTACCTTAGTGTGTTCACAGGTTAACGTCACAACAGGATAATACTTAAGTGCTAGAATTCAGATAGGGAAGTGTAGATATACATTAGATAACAGATTCACACTGGCCAATATAAAGACTTCCTGTGCTCTCACCCATCATGGGGCTCACCCTGCAGGAAGCACTGGCCAACGTGACCAAAGTTTTCAGAGGGCTACAGTATCATCCCCCTTCTTGTTGCAAAGATACTGGAATAAAGCACTACACAGTACTTTATTTTTTCTAAGTCAGCAATTACTGTGGATAGAGAGCATCTCCTCTCAGTAGCTAGTGATCTTTTCATGACTCATCACTATGGCTTCTTCGCTGAATCAGAACCTAAGTATTTATCTAATTTTGGCTTTATTGAAACAAAAGTAATTTGCTGCAGTACTTTGAACTGATGCTATGAAATGAAGCCACTTTATCAGATTAAGCTTTTAATCTAAAATAAAATAAAAACATGCAAAAACATCGCAAAAATATCACTTCACTGCTTAATCTGATACCCTAGTTTCTCCTTATTTTTAATGGGATGCCATTTGCTACTGTAAGAGCTTACTACAACTTTCTTCTACAACTATAAGATGTAGGAAAGCAATAATAATATACTACTTCCCAAGTGCACATGACATACAGTAAGATCCAACACCAACTGACATTGTATTTTACAATCAAAAAGGTGCATATATTATTAAGGAGGTTCAGAACAGAAAAGCGTATTAGTAGAGAAACACAGTGCAGCCAGCTAAAAGACACAGGTAGCAACCAGAAACCTAATCACAGAGAAGAAACAAAATCTCAGATCAAGCATGAGCATGTGCTTTCACTTCTCTACAAGCACCCCCCCCCCGCAGATAATCAAAACCAAAAGCTCTCAAGCCATAATATCTAGACATTTCACTGTCCACAATTTCATGCCATTTAAAGGTCCATTTTATGTCATCTGTGACCCAAGTCCATATTCCAGCTCACTTTTTGCTTCTAATTCTAGGATTTCCATTACAAATTTAAAGAGCAAAAACCCACTGAACTGCATCACATGACAAACTATTAATCTCTGCTCTTTCTATGTGGGATATCAAAATTCAGCTATATATGATAATTTCAATGCACTTTAAATGACTGCTCAATGCTATGGCTCAGGTGAAAATTACAACTGCAGTTCTGACACCTACAAGCTACTAGTCATTTTGGTAGCGTAGCAAACATCAATTACCTCTATGGCAAACAGAGCTACAACCAACCTACCATTAATACTACATCATGTCTAGTAAATATACCAATAGCATATCCAAGTGCAGAGTATGAACATAGGACAATGAAGTTTTACACATTCTTTTCAGCAATTTGTTGCAAAAATGGAGGAACAATATCCGTTTATGAAGCATTCACTGTACTGTTTCAAGTGAATATCTAACATTTCTTTGGTTTTATGAGAAACTTGCACTATTAAAGACTTCTGAGTTACCCAACCCACAAGAATTTCCCCCTAAACGTACAGGAATAATGCACAACTATCCTAAGTAGCCTTTTTTTTTGGCATTACCTACAATTTATTATTCACAGATCCTCAGAAGTAGTTCAAACCCACAAGTGGCTCATGTGATGGCAGGAGTTTTTTTTCTTTCTTTTTAAAAATAAGTTAATTAAGAGCAGTATAATACACAGTGATAAACTGCACTTTTATATACATGCTCAGAACTGCTAAGAAAGATTCTGTGCAAATAGTGTAACAGCTAATAAAAACGTTACGAAAACAGAAAAATCTCAAAAGATTTAACATACAACGCAACGACGTGAAGTTTAAAACATGTTTTCTGAGGTCATGTACAATATAAGCATTTTATTTTGCACCATGGCATAGAAGCCATTCAGTGCTAGAAGGTAATGAAAAAACATTACTTCCAAGTGGACAACCTGTCATATTTCCTAAGTGAAACATCACCTCCTAGTTCTTTTTAAGTTAGCATACAGTACTACTGAGAATCCGGCCAGAATTCAGGGAGATAATGTGACAAGCAAGTAACCCTTAAGAATCTTTTCTGGTTTTAAATCATAAGCCTTAATCTCATAAACCATTTTGTGAAAGCTGTTCTCTTTAGACAGTACTATTTAGGTAGTTCAAGGACTTGAAAACATAAGGAAGACTATAATTAACAGAAACGCAGCACATGGGAAACACTTAGTCATCGGGCCACTACCAATGGTTACAATAACATCGCCACTTTCAAATCATGCTTCCCAAGATTTAAATTAAGACATAATTGGAAAAAAAAAAGCAAACACAACAGTCATCGCCTAGAATAGAATCGAGGCCTTTAAGTGCTGAAAGCTTAAGTCTGAGGTGTAAAAATAAGCGGAACACGAGTTTCCAGCACAGTCGGCAGGAGACAGCCACCATTGAGAGACCGGCAGCGGTCACTCCGCCCACCGTTAAGCGCTGAACAAAAAAGACGAGCACCGGAACCCTGGTGCGACGCTCTGTGAGCACCGGGGCGGCAGGGGCGGCCCGGTCCAGGCCAGCAACCCCAGACGCGGCGCAAGGGAAGGGGAGAAGAGCAGCGGCCCCCCCCACCTCGCCCTGGCCCTGCAGCTCTGGGCAGAGCCTCCCCGCCCGCCGCCGGCCCGGCCCGCACCTGCAGGGTGGTGATGTGCTTGTCGTTGAACTTGTTCTCGCAGTAGCGCAGGACCAGCGAGGTTTTCCCCACGCAGCCCTCCCCGAGCAGCACCACCTTGAAGGAGAAGCT